CAACAAATGTTATCACTCTTTAATAGACCTTGAATGATATATTTCTCTTAAAGTGGAACTAAACCCCCCAATCCTTTACAGCCGAGGAAGCCTTCTTAGCCTTTGTTTCATCTGTAATTGCTGTGGGGCTGTGCATGTGATCAGTAACACCAGCCATTGGATGGATTGACAGTTCAGTTGAGAGTACAAGCTGCTGTGACAGTCATCATTCACAGCACACCTTGAAATGTAAATGTTTTGATAAACAATTAAATCAATGTGTTTGGTTCCTCTTTAAGTTCTGCTGTATAAATCTTTTGAACATCTGAACTAGTGATGGGCCGAACACCCCCTTGTTTGGTTCGCGGTCAAACATTCGAACCGAACGAAAGTTAGACTGTGAACTTCGAATAGAGGGGACAATTCACTAAAAGGTATCTTATCACATCCGAGTATGTACCACACAGCTTCTAATATACTGCATGAGTTATATTATTAAGTCAGCAGTATTTTAGTAGTGAAAACATTCTTTAATGTTTCAGCTGTCAGCAGGGTTCCTCGCTGACAGCTGAATGTAAAAAGAATTGCTGGCAATTACTTTTTTTTTAAACCGGCATGGGGTCCCCCCCCATCAGTGCCAAGCCCTTTGGATCTTCCCAAAATTCCATGCCAGACCCTTACAGAGCATGCAGCCTGGCAGGTCAGGAAAAGGGGGGGATGAGCACCACACCAGGCCACATGCCCTAAACATGGGGGTGCTTTGGGACAGGGGGGCTCTCCCCCAAAGCACGTTGTCCCCATGTTGTGAGGGTCTATGAGCAGGGGGCTTATAGGAATCTGGAAGCTCCCTTTAACAATTGGCCCCCAGATCCTACCCCCCCCCCCCCATGTGAATGAGTATGTGGTACCGCTACTCATTCACACACACAAAAAAAGAGTATAGTGTAAAAAATTACAGAATGCAGTCTTTGATAAGTCATTTATGAAAAACAAAAATGTAAAAAATATCCACCAAAGTAGATCCAGCATCAAACACGATGCCTGCTGCCACCACCAACTTGAAAAAAGAAAACAAAATGCTCCGCTCCTGACGCTGGCTCCCACCGTCTGACAGCTGTGCCGGTTGACGTCACACTGTGGCCCCACCCCATGTGACATCATCATTCTCTGTGATTGGCCAAAGCATTGTACCTGACTTGTGTTCAGGTGCATAGTTTTGGCCAATCACAATGCACTGTCAGGGCGCAGTGCATTGTGGGACATGGCGGGCAAATAGCTCGCTGAACGCCCTTACCGTTTATGTGTTCACCAAGCACACAAAAACAGCCGATGATTGAATCAAACTTATGTTCGACTTGAACATCAAGCCCAACTCTAATCTCAACATCTTCTGTGTGGGGTTTAATGTTACCGAATGCTAAAGATCCCTCTCAATTTAACTTTAACTGATCCATCTTAACTGGGCTGAAGGAAATGTTTTTGGGGCAGGCATCTGCCGACTACAGTGGGGATCGAAAGTTTGGGCACCCCAGCTAAAAATTTGTATTAATGTGCATAAAGAAGCCAAGAAAAGATGGAAAAATCTCCAAAAGGCATCAAATTACAGATTAGACATTCTTATAATATGTCAGCAAAAGTTAGATTTTATTTCCATCATTTACACTTTCAAAATAACAGAAAACAAAAAAATGGCGTCTGCAAAAGTTTGGGCACCCTGCAGAGTTAATATCTTGTACTGCCCCCTTTGGCAAGTATCACAGCTTGTAAACGCTTTTTGTAGGCAGCCAAGAGTCTTTCAATTCTTGTTTGAGGTATCTTTGCCCATTCTTCCTTACAAAAGTCTTCCAGTTCTTTGAGATTTCTGGGCTGTCTGTCACGCACTGCTCTTTTAAGGTCTATCCATAGATTTTCAATTATGTTGAGGTCAGGAGATTGTGAAGGCCATGGCAAAACCTTCAGTTTACGCCTCTTTGATGTAATCCCCTGTGGATTTCGAGGTGTGTTTAGGATCATTATCCATTTGTAGAAGCCATCCTCTCTTTAACTTCAGCTTTTTCACAGATGGCATCAAGTCACCATCCAAAATTTGCTGAAATTTTATTGAATCCATTTTTCCTTCTACTCGTGAGATGTTCCCTGTGCCACTGGCTGCCAACACAACCCCAAAGCATGATTGATCCAACCCCATGCTTAACAGTTGGACAGAGGTTCTTTTCATTAAATTCCGTGCCCCTTCTCCAAACGTACCTTTGCTCATTCCAGCCAAAAAGTTCAATTTTTTAACCTCATCGGTCCACAGAACTTGTTTCCAAAATGCATCAGGCTTGTCTATACGTTCATTTGCAAAGTTCAAAACGATGATTTTTGTGGTGAGGACGTAGAAGAGGTTTTCTTCTGATGACTCTTCCATGAAGACCATATTTGTACAAGTATCTCTTTATAGTGGAATAGTGTACCACAACTCCAGTGTCTGCCAGATCTTTCTGGAGGGATCGTGCAGTCAAACGGGGGTTTTGAATTGTTTTTCTCACAATCCTGCGAGCTGTTCTGTCTGATATTTTTCTTGGTCTTCCAGATCTTGCTTTAACTTCCACTGTTCCTGATGACTGCCATTTCTTAATTACATTCCGAACAGAGGATATTGACATCTGAAAATGCTTTGCTATCTTCTTATAGCCTTCTCCAGCATTGTGAGCGTCAACTATTTTCAGTTTCAGTTTTCTAGACAACTTAGAAGAACCCATGGTGCTGATTGTTGGGGCAAGGTCAGATGAGTCTGGGCATTTAAAACCTTTGAGATTGACATCACCTGGTCTTCCCAGACAATGATTGAGAACAATCCATGACACTGGCAGGTCTCAGCTTTGCAAAGGGGGCAGTGCATGCTATAAATTCTGCAGGGTGCCCAAACTTTTGCAGATGCCATTTTTTTTTGTTTTCTGTTATTTTGAAAGTGTAAATGATGGAAATAAAATCTAAGGTTTGTTGACATATAAGAATGTCTAATCTGTAATTTGATGCCTTTTGGAGATTTTTCCATCTTTCCTTGGCTTCTTTATGCACATTAATACAAATTTTTAGCTGGGGTGCCCAAACTTTCAATCCCCACTTTAATTGGCTGATAGGGGTAAACATTTGTAAACTAGAATCTTCTTTTGCAATAATTGTATTGTTTTCACACAAAAAAAAAGTACAAAGATTTGTTTGGATTAAAAGTCACATGGTAAGCACTTGTACCTTATGAGTCTGAGAACATAAGCAATACATATACCAAGTAGACACTGGAAGGTCTATAATACACAGTGGGGGTTATTTACTAAAACTGCATGGTGCAGCTCTGCAAAGAAACGAATAATCTTTTATTGTCAAAGCTTAATTGAACAAGCTGAAGTTAGAAGCTGATTTTAGAAGCTGTTTTTGTAAATTTACCCCAGTATCGCTTAGTACCTAGACAATCCGGAAATGGTAGAAACTTTAAATTCCTGTTTGATCCTCTGACATCCAAGGTTTTAGACAGATAAATCCTCTGGCAAATGGTCAAAAACAATAATCTTTTTATTATCTTTTAAAAACGTATTACATTGCATTTTACCATTTAGTAGATGTGATGACTGTATTGTGTTTATTTGTTTAGGCTTTCTTTATTTTAACCTGGTAATCTACCTAGTGGGGGATTTACTAAAACTGAACAGTGCAAAATCTGGTGCTACTCTGCACAGAAACCAATCAACTTCCAGGTTTTATTTCCAAAGCTTAATTGAACAAGCTGAAGTTAGAAGCTGATTGGCTACCATAAACAACTGCACCAGATTATGAGTGCTCCAGTTTTAGTAAATCTCCCCCAGTGAGTCTTTTATTTTTCAAAAAAACAAGCTTTCCTGCAGATGTAACCATAGAGAATTGAGACAAATAAATAATAAACTGTTAATAAAGTGTTAGTTGGAGTCTGGCTTCAATTTGTTAGTGTATCTAAAAAAATATGAAAATTATTTAAAACATTTTTCCCCTTAGACTTTAAAATTCCTCTTTTTGAAATTGCAGAAATGTGTCAATCATAATTTCAGTCATCGTATGTCTTTTTTTGGCTGATCCCATCCTTACCTGGGCTATTTTCAGAACAATTCATACTGTCCTTGTTCTGCTCAAAAACGTGGCCATCATCCATGCTTTTAATGGCATGCAGGCTTGGCAGCCCACTAAATGGAATTGTTAAATTGTGCTATCTGTAGGGTGCATCTGTTGTAAACTGTCTTTCCTCAACTAGCACCATAAAGAATTATCTGTGCTGAATTAAAAAAAATAGTGCTAAGGATTTATAGTCAGTTATAACAGTTTTGCTCTTTAAACTTGTGAAAGCAATGGGTTAGCCCTCCTGTATGCTGCTATACAGAAAAAAATGCTCTAGAAAAGTGTTCTATATTTTGTCATAATCATACCAACAACAAAAAGGTCAAACAATAATACAGCTTAAGTCAATGCAAAAACCATCATAACTGTGTCTTAAAATAACTGTCATTGTATACTTCAGTTTAAACAACCGTGCATAATAAAAAACACGTGTTGCACTATACTGAACACAACACCATAGTTCACTCAACAAAGATTTAATTTAACCCCTAGCCTACGGGGCACTTATACCCCCTTCCTGCCCAGGCCAATTTCCAGTTTTTCAGCGCTGTTGCACTTTGAATGACAATTGCGCAGTCATGCAACACTGTACCCATATGAACACTGTAATATTTTTATCATTTTTTTGTGACAGATAGAGCTTTATTTTGGTGGTATTTAATCACCTCTGGCTTTTTTATTTTTTCTTAAACAAACTAAAAACCACTGAAAATTTTGAAAAAAAAGTTTTTTCTTAGTTTTTGTTATAAATTTTTGTAAATAAGTGATTTTTCTCCTTCACTGATGTGCACTAATGAGGCTGAATTGATGGGCACTGATAGGCTGCACTGATGGACACTGATAGGCACTGGTAGGTGGCACTGATGGGCATTGACAGGCATCACTGATGGGCACTGAAAGGCAGCACTCGTATATGGCACTGATAGGTGGCACTGATAGGCAGCACTGACTGGCACTGTTAGGCGGCACTGATAGGTAGCACTGATTGGCAGCACTGATAGGTGGCACTGACTGGCATTGATAGGAGGCACTGACTGGCACTGATGGGTGACACTGAAAGGCAGCTCAGATGGGCACTGATATCTGGCATTGATGTGGCACTGATGGGCACTGGCAGGTGGCATGGATGAGCACTGAGAGCTGGCACTGATGGACACTGACAGGTGGCGCTGCTGGGGCTACACAGATCATCAGGGCAGTGCTCTGATGATCTGTGTAGATGTCCCCTCTGAAGAATGCCGAATACCGGCTCTCCTCTCCTCACGAGCTGTCAGCGTGACAGCTCGTGGGGAGAGAAATGTCGATAACCGGCATTTACCTGTTTACATGTGATCAGCTTTGATTGGACACAGCTGATCACATGACCAAGCCAACATCTTCGGCTCTTTCCGTTGATCGGTGATCCGCGGTGTCCGAGGGACACAGCGCACCGCCGATCACCGCGCTGCTCGCTCCTGGAGCCGCGCATGCGTGATTAGAATGGGAGGACGTCATCTGACGTCCTCCCAGAACGAGTGAACCACCTTGCGTCTGTCATATTACTATATGGCGGGCGGGAGGTGGTTAAAGTGGCTGTAAACCCTTACATGTACACAGTGAAGTGACTGGCCTCAGGTGATACACAGAGATGAAACAAATTATCCCACATAAGTTGTACCTGTTTATCCCACATCATCTCTTCTCTACAGTCATTCAAAGTACTGAATGTATACAGGTTGTCTGAGCTTCCAGAAAAAAGGGCGAAGAGCTGAAGTTATACACTGCAGAACTCAATGACAAGCTGGGGGCTGGTTGAAGGGATGGGACACACCCCTTTCACATGGCACACAGTAATAGAGCTGAGGCTGTCAGTCACAGCCTGTGCCCTCCTCTGTCACTATTTTTCTCTTGGTGTCAGGAAAACTCTTCAGAAGCACCTCATGCTGACAGTACAGGAACAAAATGACAGTTAGTGCTCTGGATTGAGACAAGAACACACTATAGAGGGATATGCTCTGTTAAGGTTTTATGTCTGAGGTTTACGACCACTTTATAGATAGTTAAATACAGGTGGTGCTATTCTAAGTAGCATAGTGTATCATATAGATAGAGTAGCATCTGACTGTACTGTATACCAATGAAGACTGCAGGAAAAAAAAAGATGACTGCATTTCCCATGAATCCAGTGACTCCCTTGATTAAAGATTTATTACAAGGTTACAGTCAATCATAAATTCCTCTCTTTGCTTCTCTAAAGAAATACTATGACCAGGGGTGGACTGACAACTCATGGGGCCCCCGGGCAATTGGGGATCATGGGGCCCTGTGTCCTTGCCCACACTCAAAACACACCCAAAAAAGCCTATAAAAGGTACCAGGGGCATTTTATGGGGCCCCCTACTGACCTCGGGCAGTGCCCGTTTGCTCGAATGGTCAGTCCGCCCCTGACTATGACAGAATAAACCCTGGCCCTGTCCACTATTACTTATGTTTTTCTTTAGATTTAAAATACGTATGTCTAATCTACAGTGATGAATCTGTTGCAGACTTTTGCAAATCTGCCATAGTTGGCCTCCCATTTTTCTAGGTGCAGGGGTGGCAAATAGACACAAACTGCCACAGAGACATTGTGAAGTGAATTTGAATCTGATTTGCATCTAATTGTGCAATTGATTTTCCTGATAAATGCCCTTCTATTGTACAGGGTTATTCAAAAAGCTGGGAGAGATTTTAATTTTTTATTTCAAACAAACTGTAAGGAATATCACTGGATAGAAGACGTTTCAAAATTTAAAGCCCGCCTAGAAGTATATTGCCAGACAGCGGCGGTGAAAATCCTTGCATAGTCATCAAACATGAAAGAGACTCACTGAAACTGAATGTGTTTTGTGCCATTTCTGTAAGCAAACATTATGGACCTTTTTCTTTCTGCCGAACAAACTGTGACAGGATTGTCATATATGGACATGCTATAAAACTGGTTGTTTCCCCACTTTTAAAAATATTCAAATGACTTCATTTTCATGGAAGATGGTTCCCCCGCCTCACTTCCACTTGGAGGTCCAGCATTATCTGAGGACATCATTCCAGGTTGATAGGTTGAAAGAGGTGGACAACAAGATCTTGTTCATCTTCTGTGGCCTCCCAGGTCACCAGACCCTACCACCTGAGATTTTGTTTACCTGTGGGGGTACATAAAAGAAAGTGAGTTTGCCCCCCACCTATGCCTGCTTCTCTTCAAGATTTGAGATGTCAAAACGTTGAAGCTGTGAATTCAATTACTACCAAGAATTTGATTTGTGTGTGGCAAGAAATGGTCTTCCATTTTGCTGTTTTTTGCCCAACACATGGTGCTCATGTTGAGTGCATACAACCTCAAGGGACATAAAATGTTGAACCTTCCTGTAACCAGTGAGGTGCGGAATGTTCTTCTACAGTTTGTTTGAAATAAAAAGTCAAAATCTACTTCGTCCTTTTGAATAACAATCAGAACATTTTGGTGTAACAATCTGTATTTTGGTGCTGTCCTTTGACTTCCTGCTTCCTAGAAACAGACCAGAGAGGAATTCAGCTGTCCTATTTTCAGAATAATGCTTCAATCACTTATCCATTTAGTTGGACAGAGTCAGTCAAACTGACTTTTGTCATGTGCGAGGGACATTACTATCAATAATGTATTATTATACACTGCTCAAAAAAATTAAAGGAACACTTTTTAATCAGAGTATAGCATCAAGTCATTTAAACCCCTGTTATATTGATCTGGTCAGTTAAGTAACAAAGGGGGTTGTTAATCAGTTCAGCTGCTTTGATGTTAATGAAATTAACAAAAGGTGCAAAAGATGGGCAACAATGAGACAACCCCCCAAAACAGGAATGGTTTTACAGGTGGATGCCACTGACATTTGTTTCCCTACTCATCTTTCTGATTGTTTTTCACTAGTTTTGCATTTGGCTAGGGCCGATACCTGGACCCTGCAGAGGTTGCACAGGCAGTCTAACTCCTCCAGGATGGTACATCAATACATGCTGTTGCCAGATATGCTATGTCTCTCAGCACAGTCTCAAGAGCATAGAGGAGATGCCAGGAGACAGGCAGTTACTGTAGGAGAGCTGTACATGACCGTAGAAAGTCCTTAACCCATCAGCAGGATCGGTATATGCTCTTTTGTGCAAGGAGGAACAGTATGAGCACTGCCAGAGCCCTACAATTCGACTTCCAGCAGACCACTGGTGTGAATGTCTCTGACCAAACAATCAGAAACAGACTTAATGAGGGTGGCCTGAGAATCCGACATCCTCTAGTGGGCCCTGTACTCACTGCCCGGCACCATAGAGCTCGATTGGCATTTGCCATTGAACACCAGAATTGGCAGGTCTGCCACTCGCGCCCTGTGCTTTTCAAAGATGAGAGAAGGTTCACCCTGAGCACATGTGACAGACATGAAAGGGTCTGGAGAAGCTGTGGAGAACGTTATGCTGCCTGCAACATCGTTCAGCATGACCGTTTTGGTGGTGGGGTCAGTGATGGTCTTGGGAGGCATATCCATGGAGGGACGCATAGACCTTTACAAGCTAGACAATGGCACCCTGATTCCCATTACGTATCGGGATGAAATCCTTGGACCCATTGTCAGATCCTACGCTGGTGCGGTGGGTCCTGGGTTCCTCCTGGTGCACGACAATGCCCGACCTGGTGAGAGTATGCAGGCAGTTCCTGGAGGATGAAGGAATTGATACCATTAAATGGCCCCAATGCTCGCCTGACCTAAATTCAATAGAACACCTCTGGGATATCATGTTTCAGTCCATCCGAGGAGGCCAGGTTGCACCTCAGACTGTCCAGGATGTCAGTGATGCCCTGGTCCAGATCTGGGAGGAAATGAGACACCATCTGTTGTCTCATTAGGAACATGCCCCGATGTTGTCAGGCATGCATACAAGCATGTTGGGGCCATACAGACTACTGAGTACCATTTTGAGTTGCTGCAATGAAATTTCAGCAAAATGGACTAGCCTGCTGCATAATTTTTTTCACTTTGATTTTCGGGTGTCTTGACAATTTTAATTTCCATCAAACGATGGGGCATCCTTACGTTCCTAACACATTACCCAGTCCACATCAGTAGAGATATCCAGCATGATATTCTCCCCATTGAGATCTGATGTGTTTTCAAAGTATTCCTTTAATTTTTTTGAGCAGTGTACTATTTAGTTTTACAGAACAACATGTACAAAAAAAGTATAAGAAGATATTTTTAGATTCTTATACAGACATTTACCAAACTACTGGTGTATCTACCTGGTGCATGTATTTTAAATTACAGTGATTGATTCACCTGCAGTAAATGTTTGGTGATCTCACATTCACTGATATATATATACTGTACGTTCCCTGAGTTTATCTACTTACTATGTCAAATTCAAAAGTATAAATTGAACGTAGTCATAATACTAGTTATATATAAGATGAATATAAAAACATATAGAATATTTGCCTTTACTTTAGAATTCCTGAGGAAAACTGTCATCTCTAAAAAAGATCACTTTGCTCTAGTCTCCACAGCCAATAATATTGGTTTAAAACTATTTACTATGTACTAGTAATAAATGAGGGGTGCCAAACCCAGACTTTTGAGTTTATATTATAAAAGAACAAGTTTCAAGGAATGGAAACTAAATGTAGAAATTTTTCAACATACTCCCCTGCTACATTTATACACTTATCCCAGTGTTTAACTAATGCCTGGAAAGCTTCAGCATAGAAAGATTGTACGCCTGAACCATCCTAGGACAGCCTGCTGACTTCATCATCAGTGCTGAAATGTTTCTTGTGCAATTTCATGACAGGTTATGCATCGATTAAGAAGGATCAGGCTTTCAACGCACTGAATGTTCACAGAAATGACTGCTGTGGGCTGGGAGCCACTACGGCCAAGATCGTCGCTGACACGTATGGCCATCTTTAAAAGGTTTACAGAATTCAAGTGTTTTACTCCGGCTGAGTATTTTCATCACCAAACATTGTTCCATGCATGCACCAATGCTGTTGTCTGCCATCTGGATTAACGGTCCCTGGACTGGTTCGCGACATGTGCACTGCCTATCGGTAATAGAACACACTTGCCACTTACTACTGCATGTAGTATCGCCACTCTAGCATCCCTAGAACATTAAAAGTTCTGGTTTGACTTGAACGTCCCTTGTATGATGTTGCTTTTTTTTTTCCTCTAAAAACTAGAGTTTTATTAATTTTTTTTTTAACCTTTTTACCCCAGAGGAATCAATTGCCAAAAAAAAAATGCTGACTACTGCTGAACAAAAAACAAATGCTGCTACTGTCACTATCTTTTCAAAGTGAAATTTGTATGTGATGTGGAGCTGCAGTGTCCCCCATCTAAAGGATAGTTTCCACCTCTTCTAACTTGGCTAAACCCACAGTAAGTTGTGGA